GCCTCCTGGGTTCAGGCAATTCTCCTGCCTCAGCCTCCTGAGTAGCTGGGATTACAGGCACGCGCCACCATGCCCAGCTAATTTTTTGTATTTTTAGTAGAGACAGGGTTTCACCACATTGACCAGGATGGTCTCGATCTAAGAGACATTTTTTCGAGACTTATAAAAATAACTTTATTAATGAATATTTCCTATAATTATGTTATCTAATTAGGTTGTAGCTTATTTTGATATTAGCAGTCCTGAGGATATACATTGGACATATTTTATTCAGCTAATTAGACATTTTGATCACCTCTTTATCAGGCACTCTGAAAATAGAGATAGGTAAAAATCAAGTCTCTGCCCCTAGAGTGCTCACAGTTTAGAGCAAGTTTAGGTAAGCAAATATTCACCATGGGATTCAATAAGTACTAAATTATGGGTATGCCTGAGATGGTGGCACAATGGAAATCAGATCTTCTTAGGTTTTTCTGGGAAACTTTCACAAATGAGAGAAAATGCTGGTTATTGAAGTGTGATCAGGAGTTAGCTAATTGGAAAGAATATTCAAGATGGAAGAATACAAAGGAGTGAATCGTCAATAACATGGTGTTATAGACTGAATTGTGTCCCTGAAATTCATACTACTGCCCTATTCTGGGAATAGAGCTCGCTACAAATCCTGGTATTAGACACTAGTAATATTATATTTTAGTCTTTTAAATTTCAGCCTCTTGAATTTTATTTATTTATTTATTTATTTATTTATTTATTGAGTTGGAGTCTTGCTCTGTCGCCAGACTGGAGTGCAGTGGTGCAATCTCGGCTCACTGCAACCTCCGCCTCCCAGGTTCGATTCTCCTGTCTCAGCCTCCCAAGTAGCTGGGACTACAGGCGCCCGCCACCACACCTGGCTAATTTTTTTGTATTTTTAGTAGAGATGAGGTTTCACTATGTTGGCCAGGATGATCTTGATTTCTTGACCTTGTGATCCACCCACCTTAGACTCCTAAAGTGCTGGGATTACGGGTGTGAGCCACCACGCCTGGCCAAATTTTATTTAAAGATGTTATTTCATTTAAAGAGATAACTTCTTTAAATGAAATTTAAAGAGATAACTTCTTTAAATGAAATTTAAAGAGAATTTTGCTGAATATATATATATTTTTTGAGACAGAGTTTCGCTCTTGTTGCCCAGGTTGGAGTGCTATCTCAGTTCACTGCAACCTTCACCTCCCAGGTTCAAGCAAGCAATTCCCCTGCCTCAGCCTCCCAAGTAGCTGGGATAACAGGCATGTGCCAGTATGCCTAGCTAATTTTGTATTTTTAGTAGAGATGGGGTTTCACCATGTTGGTCAGGCTGGTTTCAAACTCCTGTCCTCATGCGATCCACTGGCCTTGACCTCCCAAAGGGCTTAGATTACAGGCGTGAGCCACTGCCCCCGGCCTGCTCAATATTAAAATATGTATCCACTTTAACAATTTTGGGCCATGGGTTTTCTGTTTGGTTTTTTTTTGTTGTTGTTTTTTGGGTTTTGAGATAAGAGTCTTGTTCTGTTGCCCAGGCTAGAGTGTCGTGGCATGATCATGGCTCACTGCAAACCTTGACCTCCTGGGCTCAAGAGTCGCCCACCTCAGCCTCTCAAGTAGCTAGGACTACAGGCACACACCACCATGCTCAGCTAATTTTTTAATTTTTTGTAGAGACAAGGTCTCACTATCTCACCGAGGCTGGTCTTGAACTCCTGGGCTCAAGCAACGCTCCCACCTCCCTCAACCTCCTCAAGCCATGTTTTAATACCTATGAGTGACTGACGAAGATGACTGCTGTAAAATGAAAGGACCTATGGCTGGCAGGACTGAAGTCCTAAGGCAATGTATTATAAAAAGGAAGAAAGATCCAGATTGTTTCTAAACTCTCTGTAATTAATTCAACAATGATTAAGCTTTTCTATGTACTAAGAACTTACATGTTTCAAAGGTTTAAAAATTACCTAGAAGAGTTGATGAGAATACTGGTAATACAGTGACCAGATTCCCAGATTTTCCAAGGCAATCCTAGTTTCAGTATTTTGTCCCAATTTCAGACTGTGTGGAATGATATAAATAAATATGTCAATTATGATGAGTTTGTTAAGTTTTCCAAAAGTCCTATATTATGTACTCAAGGATAACATATAACATAGAGTAAAAGTGGCTGGGTGCAGTGGCTCACCCCTGTAATCCCAGCACTCTGGGAGGCTGAGGCGGGTGGATTACCTGAGGTCAGGAGTTCGAGACCAGTCTGACCAACATGGTGAAACCCCGTCTCAATTTTTTTTTTTTAATTTAAAAAAAAAATAGAGTAAAAGTAAACTTCACATACTTGGTTATGGGTTAAAGTACTCCTTGGCCAAGCGTGGTGTTTCACACCTATAATCTGAGCGATTTGGGAGGCGGAAACAGGGGAACAGCTTGAGGCCAGGAGTTTGAGACCAGCATGGGCTACATAGTGAATACCTGTCTCTATAATTTAAAAACAAAACAAAAAAATGTACTCATGGCCGGGAGCGGTGGCTCATGCCTGTAATCCCAGCACTTTG